ACACACACACACAAACACACTCTCCCTCTCTCTCTTACACATACACACACTCTCTCTCACACACACACACACACACACACCCACACACACACACACACACACGCACACACCCCCACTACACACACACACACACACACACACACACACACACACACACACACACACACACACACACACACACACACACACACACACACACACACACACACCCCCTCATTTCCCATGACCCCTCAGCCTCTGGAAGTTACATCAGTTTCTGCAGAGATCGTTTTTGGGTTTTCTAGTAAATAGCATCTGGATCCAGAGGAGAGCTAGCTGACGTTAGCTGCTGCTCGTTAGCAGTTAGCATCAGGAGGTGCCATTGAGTTGCATTGTGGTGCGTTCAGGGCAACATTTAGCATCTGGAAAGGCTAAATAGTGTACATAAAAATTACTTTTGAGCAACAACTCTGTGATGAAATCTGTGTTGAGAGCTAGTGCTAATGTTAGCTTTAATTGGTTAGCAGTTAGCCACAGGACAGGAGGTGCCATTGAGTTCAATCAATCAATCAATCAATAGGATACGGCTGTAATAGGCCTTTTAGTCGCTCATAAATAAATAAGTAGATCACTGATTCTTTATTTACTATGGATGCTGGCAACAGTCACATCGTCCAAAGTGAAGGTGATGTTTGACCAGTAATGGTCGAGGCGGGATTTGAGACAGTTACATTGTGATGCGTTCAGGGAACATTAGCATTGAGCTAAAGTTACATTTAATGATGTGTTCAACTTTAGACGTGAAAAAAGTAGTGTTTTATTGTTGGATCCACCTTTTTTCAGGGATTACGACCCGTTTAGTGTGCTAACAGTATGCTATCGCTAAAAAAGGAGCAAATGTTGAAGAATATGGTGTTTTATTTTCAGTTTTTTATCCCTTTGCCTCTCTGTTTTCCTGCTCCTCCTCATGTCAGTGAACGCATCTGTTATGAAGCTCTTCCTCTTCCTCCTCCTCTTCCTCCTTGTTAGCGTGTCACGCTTCAGATCAGATGTTAACAAGTCGACAAAAACATAAAAAACTGTCTCTGACATTTTGACCTAGATCTCTCGTTACCGCGCTGCACTTGAAGGCACCACGGCGCCGTTATATTTGATTGACAGGTGTGTGTCTCTGTGTTTCAGATGCATTCGTGAACAGTCAGGAGTGGACGCTGAGCCGGGCCGTACCAGAACTCAAAGTGGTGAGTTTAAATATAATTAAAAATTATTTTTATTATAATGATCAGAAATACAAAATAAAATTCAGATTATTTTAAGTGTAATGATGTTAAAAAAATGTATTTATTTATTTGTACCAATTAACCAATTAAATAGAAGACTTGTCAAATAGAAAAATACAATACAAATAAATAATAATAATGGTTAAAATTATGTATGTTTTAAGTCAATAATATTTCCTCTAATTCAACAAATTATTATTATTTTAAATATTAAATCTGACGCAACCTGTTCCTCTGCTGCAGGGCATTGTGGGTAACCTGGCCAGTGGTAAGTCGGCGCTGGTGCACAGGTATCTGACGGGGACGTACGTGCAGGAGGAATCACCTGAAGGTAAGCAAATATGTATTAATAATTAATAATTCTAATAATTATTCTGTCTTCAGAACATCTGGCTGCATCTGCTTCACCCTCAGACGGGAAAAACTAAAAATATATGATTATGTCTTATTGTCTTATTATTATGTCTCTAAAAAGCTTAAAATATTTCACAGTGTGTCCAAAAATCGTATTTACACCATAACAATGTAGGATTTTCAAAATAAAACCAAATTTCCGTGCCACAAAACCCGTATTTTTACACGTTTTCCTGCAGAAATGTTCCTTAAAACACCTTAAAAGCTGGTTTCTGTGGATGCTCTTTGTGCACGCTCTCTTAAATCTCTCATCCCGCTCTCTGTGAGGAAATAAAAGTGGAGCTTCCTCTCCGGTCGGACCAGATTTCTCGTTAAATATTGAATCAGATTCCCCGGGCGCAGACCCACTTCTCTCCGTGTTCCTTTCAATATTTCACATCTCTGGAGGTCCTGCTGTCTCCTAATGGATACCACACAAACGCCTCCATAATTAAAACGTTTTACTGTCAGAGGTCAAAGATCTGGGTCATGCTTTTATTGTGAAAGGGTTGTCGGCAATGTAGTCGCTCGTTCAGGCTTTTATTTAGAGAAGAAATCAGTTTATTATCAACCAAATAATGCCTTAATACAAATCAATGCAACTTCCTGTACATGTCTTTCAAAGTAAAAGCCCTCAATGATCATTATCCTGTCTTTCACAGGCTTTTACTTTGAAATACCTGCAAGACATGCAAAATAAACCACATTTTAACTGCATGACTTATGGTAAACAGCTGGATTACATTTCATTTTGCAGATTATATTATTCAGTTTTTAGCGCTAGCTGTTTGTAAAGTATGTTTGGTTTCCTCTCAGGAATTCTTTAGAACAGAAAAAAACCTAAAAACCACGTTTATGTCTCAGTTTCACCGCTCGAAAAACACCGACTGCAGCTCGTTAACCTCCTGACCTGTGTGTGTGTGTGTGTGTGTGTGTGTGTGTGTGTGTGTGTGTGTGTGTGTGTGTGTGTGTGTGTGTGTGTGTGTGTGTGTGAACTCTGACGGGACCCGCCCAAGAAAACCAGATTTACCTCAGAGAAGGAGAACGTTAGGGTGCTTTTATTGTGAAAATCTGCAGAAAAAAACACAATTTATAACAGTTATTTAATCTAAATTGACTCAGAGGGGTTTGTATTCTGCAGACAGTGAAGGGGAATCCCCGGATTGTCCCTGAAGGGCACACAGAATAAATATTTGCTCTATCAGTGACGCGTTTCATTTTGAAGCCTCTCTGCCAACACACACACACACACACACACACACACACACACACACACACACACACACACACACACACACACACATACACACACACATGCACACACACACACACAAACACACACACTCTCTCTTTGATCTGGAGGAAACTGCAGCTCCTAATTAAATACAAAAACTCCCTGAGTCTGAAACGTTGTTGTGAATTCCTGAAGTCTAAAAATACCGATGCTGCATTCCCAAAGCGATCGGGAGGAAAACCACAAACCAGAAACCACAAAAATTCAGCCTCAGGAAAACTGTGCTGCGTTCAGGGACACTCAGTTCATCTCAGGAGCTGTTATTGTTCCCAAATCTCCTCTGTGCTGCGTTCAGGGACACTCAGTTCATCTCAGGAGCTGTTATTGTTCCCAAATCTCCTCTGTGCTGCGTTCAGGGACAGTCAGTTCATCTCAGGAGCTGTTATCGTTCCCAAATCTCCTCTGTGCTGCGTTCAGGGACAGTCAGTTCATCTCAGGAGCTGTTATCGTTCCCAAATCTCCTCTGCTGCGTTCAGGGACAATAAGGAGTCCAGGTTTCCATGTGAAGAAATTAATTAATCCACTTTTTAATTGGGTGACAAAGCCCCTGAAGGTGAGCAGGTGCAGCAGGTGCTCCTACCTTTTCAGGTGTGTACAGGTGTGTGTACAGGTGTGTGTACAGGTGTGTGTACAGGTGTCTCCTCCTGAGGCTCCTCCCACTGTGTGCTGCATGATAACGGCTCTGTTTGCTTTCCTCTTCCTCTCTGCTTCTGGGCTGCTTTAAAACTAGCTGACGTGGACGCAGGTAACTATCCTCCTCTTCATCTTCCTCTTCTTCTTCATCTTCCTCTTCATCTTCCTCTTCATCTCTTAGGTGTTGGTTCAGTGTTAAATCAGTTTGGTAGCAGCTAATTTGAAGCTGTGATACTCTCAACGAGCAAAACATATCACCTTTTTCTGTAAATGGAGAATATTATATATTCATTATTAAATATGTAATGTTTAATTTCTCTCACGGAAAATAAAAACAAACAAAAAAATGTATCTAATTTCCCTAAAATTTTAATATAAAGTTATAGAGTCACAGCATGGATTTTCAAAATAAAGCCTTTTTTTACCCTGAAATGACCTGTAACACACACACACACACACACACACACACACACACACACACACACACACACACACACACA